TGGCCCTCGACCACAAGGGGAACTATTTCGTATCATCTTCTTCTGTGAGCTCATTCGTGGCCGGAATCTACCAACGCACTTCAAACAACACTCTCCGTATCATTAGAGAATACCCTCGGGATACAGTAGCTACTCTCTCCGACCTTGCAGTTGACGTAGATGGCTTTGTTCATGTACAGCAAAGAGTGCAATGGGGTGACCAGTGCATTCACAAATACAACCCAAATGTAGATTTCGAAAATGTTAAGCTCACTTGGAGCGATGAAGATTAACTGTTTTATGAAGATAAACCGTTCGTTAAAGCACGAATAACTGACTTATTTGAATCAATCGGCCTACTAATGTATCTGAATAATAATAATGGGATGTTCATTCTACTCAATAAATGATGAGTTGACTGCGTTTATCACGGTTTACTTCTATCCTATACACTTTTCTCACTCTTTCAACGACTGCACTTTCTTCATCTGTGTGCCATAGCCCGCTGTGCATCGGGACAGTGCATCTTTGTTAGCACAACAAAAGTGCTGCACCTTAACTATAATAAAGTTTTCATACTCAAGAAATTTTAAGTAAACACAACACTTCCGTTACTGCGTGATTTTTACTGTATTTATTTGAAGTAATTTTCCTCGTATAATTCACAGAGGCTATACAACTGGCATGAAAGTACAACTTTTTTCGAAGTAAATAGTGTGATAAACCGTTTCATTGTTGACCCTATGAATAGCCAACCTCGGCAAGGCAATTCACAAGTAACTGCAATTTGTTTTTATTAGCCAATAAAATGTCGAGTTTCAACTGCTGATGTGAGCAATTTCTATGGAATTCTACAATTTGACCACTCCAGAAAATACCATAACATCCCATAATGCTCTTTGTTTGTCACCCCAAAATTTTGCATAAGCATTGTCTTCAGTTTCTCTTGAGAGTCATCCCCTCGCTTGCGCGTTCTCGCGAGGCTTGCTTCACTCGCCCAAATAGGAGAGCTTGCTTGCAGGCAATCGCCCGCCCAAAATACGCCTGCATTGCAGGCGGTACCGAATTGCAAGTCCAGCGCTCTGACCACTCGGCCACGCTGCCTCCTCATGCTGTCACTAAAAGTTGTTCGGAGGTTACAACAGACAGGGCTTTGAATAGAAATTGAGTTGGTGTTTTGGATCTGTGGTTGCTTACGAGGGGTGGTCGTACACGGAGGTTCGACTGTATGTAATATTCAGAATTTCACATCTGAACCAGTGTTATCAAGAGACAAAAGATTAGAAATCCAGAAATTAATAAAAAGATTTAGGGCCTGTTTGTAAAGAGAGCTGGTAACCCTTTGCTAGGGTTATCCTAGAAGGCGAGTAAAGATAGCAAAATTTCATAGGTAGTTTTACCCTTTCACATGGCTCAACTTTACAAGTTGACTGACGTGTTTCGTCACGTGTTACCACATAAGACAAAAACTAGTAACAACTAAAGGTTAGGAAGTGCGGAGAAATCGTTCGAGGGATTTCGAGGGTCAAAACATTCTTGCTGCAACCCTGTACTTTGCGTAAGTTTAGTGATAGAAGGTCCCAAAACGCGTGATCAGATTGCGTTTAACGCATTCCATTCATTCTTAGTACTGGCTGCATACGTGGCGGGCATGCGGAATTGCAACCTTTCTTACCGCACCCGGTCTCTGCACAACCCTGCAAGGCCTCTGTCTAGGCCCTTGGCCTGACATACGTCACGGAAATGCACTGACCGAGAGGGCCTAAGACACCGAAAAGGACTAAGCAATGCAAAGTGATACCATGAATTGGAATCCTGTTAGGGACTCGCAACAGTTTTCTTTGTCACACGATCGTGAAGGGACGATTATTCCATCAACTCTTGACGTCCATTACATTTTTGTTAAAAATGTGTTAAGATATCTGTTTCGTCCGGCACTGTAAGACTACATCGTGAACTTCCCCAAGTGGACGCAAGACGATGATTTTTTTCTTTCTCTTATGTTAACTTTGAATCCATCCCCTGGAAAACTCGCCTACATATGACTAACAGGGCGAGATGACGTTTAAAACAGCTCGAATTAACTTTTTAGGTGACGTTTTGCTGGTCCTTTAAGCCCCCTACTCTGCCATAGACTGACTGAGAACGTGGACGACAGAGAGATGCGACTTTTAAGCTTTTGTCTCGTATTCTCTAAAAAGCGGCCCCCAAGGAAAGCTTCATTGAATCTTTTTTTTCAACAGATAAGGTAACTTCGCTTATTAGTTCTATTAAAAGAGGTTAAGCCCCCCGCTGATCGCAAAACGATAAACTTTCAAACCATATGTGGAATGACGACGAAAATCACGTTTTCCCGCCAAAATGACGCTGGTTCACACGCGCGCACTACTTGGCATTCCCGGGAAAAATCTCGTTCTCATAATCATCCTCGTATATAGAATCTAAAGGTCTCTAATGTTTCAAACTACCGACGTATATATTAATTTCAGCGGAAGCTATGCAGTCTTCCGGGCTCTTACAGCCAGATGAGAATTAAAAGACGGGAAGGAGGTGTAACTAAACGCACAAAGGACAAACAACAGCTGTGAATAATGCAGTTTACTACAGAAATATTTTCCACACAACTCAATACAGAAAATTCACACCATTTCTTTGTCAATCCTAACTGATATACCAAACACGTAAAATGAAAGTTTAGAAGAAATAACTGCCTTCTTGTCAACGTAGTTTCATCAGCGAAACGACTCATTGTTATCACTCTAAATTCTTAACTTGCCCTGAAGAGATTGGACCAATTTTGTCGAAATAGAGACAAAATGCCTTCAATTCGCTAGTGGTAATTTAGTTGCTGGTAGCTACAGTCTGAAGATAAAAGCTCGCCTCACCCCTTCCAGAACATTTGGGTCACCTGGTGGTGTACGATGGGAAGAGAGAAACGAGCCTCTTTTCCCTCTTCCCATTGTCCTCCGCGCGCGTTTTCCCTCTCCCCAACCTCCTTCCAACACAAAGTACACAAAGAGGCCCCTGTAGAGGAGGGAAAGGCGAACCCACCATTGGGGCTACGATTTGGTGTCTGCGTAGCGAGAGTTATCTTCAGCTAATAGCATTCTATCATTAGCGATGTCTGCGATGGCGTTGTCTCAAAGGCAATATTTGACATGACAATTAGCACACGAAATTTAAAAGTTTGAAAGGGATTTACCAAGAACAACATATTCAGCTATTCAGTATGTCGCCAGTCTTTATACATCCTACCTTTGAAATAAAGTTGTACTTTCAGCGGGTTACCGCTTTAAATGTCTCGCAAAGAGGCAGTAGCCTTCGAAATGATACACAAATAACTGAAACAATATTGGTATAATGGCAATCACTTGAGATAAAAGAACTGTCGCTTGTCAGTATTAAAAACGTGGCCTTAAAATTAACATCTTATGACACAAGTACATAACTTAAGCGCGCATTCAGTAACTACAGATTATGTAGGACAACTACTTAACTGCTACATAACCGCGACGCGGACACTAAAGCCTGGTCTCTATATAATCGTCCGCAACGTCACAATTGCCCTAGCCGTTATAAAATATGTTCTGGAAATTGAGACCATCATATGGAAACAGCGCTGATGCGAACTATTACGGAGATCACATAGATCTAATAGCATCTATTTAGGCTGGTCTGCATATAATCTTCCGCCGGATCGCGTCTATTGAATCGTCCCAAACTATGGATGCAACTGGCACAATTACATGAAAACCACTGCTTTAACAAAATCGTCTCGACAGTGACTTGCAAAATGGACGACTAACTGGTAAATACGCGGTTAATTCATGACTAATCTTATTGTTATTATTATCATCTGGCAGGTAATAGTGATTTTATGCAACAGGACGGCAGGTAGAAGACGGAAAAACGCTTGTGCATGACCAACGTGACAGGGCTGTTACTTGCTTGTTATGTGGTGATCTTCACTTAACATCAATGTTTTCTGGTCTTTTACAGAAAGATCTGTTTAAAGGAAAGTGAAGTTTGGCGAAAAGTTTTTTCAAACAAAATTGTCACGCTTGTCACACAAGGTTTGCCGTCTTCTTTCCTCTCCCGTCCTGTTGCGTAATTTCACTATTGTTATCTAATTGTACTCTTTTTTCACACCAACTATTGCAAGTTCACTCTTTAATTCTCATTGGGAATGAATATAAACAGCGTCTCGTCCGCTTTATTGAAAATATAAGCCACAATTCATTAAGTTAAAGTGAATGTAATATTCTAATGTACCCCTCCCCCGAAGGTAGCATTTCCCCCCCAAATTTTTTGCGGAGTCTTTTTAAAGATAGAGGGAGGTATTCAACACTGAAGGGCGCGCCTTTTCATAAACATGGACTGTAAGATCCGACGACGCGATGGCAACGAGAACGTCAAAAAAAAAAAGAATAGCTTTAGAAGGCAAAACAACAACTTTGCACGTGCAAAACAAGCGACGACGAAATTTATTTGTCTTTCTGAACTTGGATAAGAATCCTAGGAATTCAACTGCAGGAGGGTTAGCCTACTTTTGATGAAGTAAATGGGTAGAAGTTAGCGCGATAAAGACAGCAAGAACGTCAATTCACTTTTTAAGCGACGTTTTCGCTGCCATCGCGTCGTCGGATGGTTAAGTCCCTACTTTTGCTGAAAACCCCCGGCGGACTCACAGTATGCTCGCCGTATCTCCTTGAGAGGTAGGAATTGCATATTTTGATCTCAGTTGGAGTGTTAAAGCAGTCAAATGGTGGAGTGGAGGGGGTGGGGATAGGGATTGAGGGGGTGTTTACGGTACTAACACTAAGAACAGTTACTTAATTTACGCTTCATTTCAGAAGTGTTTGAGGGTTGGATAGGGTGGGGTGGGTGGAGACCGATTATACTATATATTATTTCCAGTAAAAAATAACTTTTCAAAACTATCCTCAAAATATGAAAGCATTATCTTCTTTCTCTCGTACACCGGCAACGCGACTTAACAGGAAGAAACCTGGAGTTGTTGT